TTTATTTATTTATTTGACAGACAGATCACAAGTAGGCAGAGAGGCAGGCAGAGAGAGAGGAGGAAGCAGGCTCCCCACTGAGCAGAGAGCCCGATGCGGGGCTCGATCCCAGGACCCTGGGATCATGACCTGAGCCAAAGGCAGAGGCTTTAACCCACTGAGCCACCCAGGTGCCCCTATTTTTTTATTTTTAAAGAGAGAGAGAGTGCAGGTGAGCAGGATGGGGAGGGGCAGAGAGAGAATCTCAAATAGGCTCCATGGCCAGCATGGAGCCAGCTTAGGTTTTGATCACACAACTCTGAGATCATAACTTGAGCTGAAATCAAGAAATCAAGTGGTTAAGCCACTTAACCAACTGAGCCAGGTGCCTCTCTTCTTATTTTTTTTTTAAATTTATTTATTTGAGAGAGAGTCAGAGACGGGGTGGGGGGGCAGTGACAGAGGGAGAGGAAGAGAGAGAATCTTCAGCAGAGTCTGCCAAGCATGGAGCTGGACACAGGGTTCTATCTCACAATCCTGAGATCATGATCTGAGCAGAAATCAAGAGTTGGACGCTCAACCGACTGTGCCACCCAGGCACCCCTATTGTCTTATTCTTAAAAGAGGTAACAGATCTACTTCTCAGGATTACTTGACAATAAAGCAGATAAACCTAAGTGTTGGGCACATAGTAGGCATTCAACAACTCTGTTCTCTTCTAATTTCATTTTCAGCTCATAAAGATGGGTTCATAAACAATAGGGTACTGATTGATTAAATTATGTGTTAGTATAGCATCCTAAAAGTAGAATTAATATATCAAAGGGTACATGATTTTGTAACCACAAATTTTGGTGGTTACTTATATTAGGGAATAAAACAAAATAATGACATGATCTTTTACTTCATTCCTGATACAGATACAGATGTTAGACTCAGATCCAATAAACATTTAGTATGTGCAATACACAGGGCTGAGCATGTCCATGTCCATTACTTACCTCCCCAACCTCTTTCTATTAGTACTTCATTATTAGCATTTCTGACTTTTTTTTTGAAAAATTGTGATTAAATAGCTTGCTACATGGAAGGTAGGTATATCTAAACATGGTAATGTTAAAATTAATAATTCATGCAATGCTAATCTAATATACACTGAAGGACAAGCATACTTGTTACTATGTTACATGACTACTAGGCACATGATACAAATACACCCTAATTAATGTTCTTTTATGTTTTAATCACATATATTATAGTTCCCTCTTTTCTTTTTGTTAGCTCCCAGTAGCTATTTTAAACATCAGAATTTATGAATTTTGCTGGCAACACATATAGTTTAATACTTACTGAGATAAAACGTCAGATGTACTTTTTCAATATGTAGGATTCCCCCTGAATATCCCCTATCCTACACTGCTTAGTTGAGGGAACTTTTGTTCCTTCACTCCCTTTTGTCTCTTTTCTCGAGTACTCAGAACTTGAAGTTAGAAAAGCCTGGTACAGTTTCAGTTTTGTCACCTACCACCCATAAGATATTAGGTTTCCCTTTCTCTGAAGTTGGTTAAAAGAACCTTAAACCCACAGTATTCAGAGAATTGCATACTAGTCATATCAGGAAAAATTCTGGGGATAGATCCTGGCATGTAAAAGGTATTTAATAAGCAAATTTACCATCCAGATTATTTAAAGTGCCCATGGTGACAGCAACCTAGACTGAAAAGCCATTGATGAGGTGAGCAGAGGAACATCTGTCTGAAGGAAAGCATGTTCATTCACTGTAGATTTGGAATGAGGGAAGTATGGGGCAGCAAGAATAGACTGGATTCCCAGTAGGTGGGAAGCAGAGGGAGAAATGGGGAGAGCTGTGTTTCTATTGCAAAACTCTGGAATTTGAAAAGACCTTAATGGCCATATGGCAAAAAACCTTTGTCCCATATTATGATCTAAAGCATGTAAGCTTACTACAGTATGACTAAGAAGTGATTATCTAGGACAGAGAACCCATTCTCATATAGAATTTGTACTGTTCCACGTACTACAGCTTGAATCCATGGAAACCTCTTCTAACGAGTCTAAAATTTACTCCCTCTTACTGTCCACTCAGTGGCTGTTTTCTTGGACCAAGAAATAGTCCAATTCCTCCTTCATGTGACACGTGGGGGAGGAATTCCAATAAAAACTTTGACTTAAGTTTTTTAGAGCCTATTTTTGGCCCCAGTTTTAACCTAACAGGCTGGATTCAATCATTCTCAGTTGGTCTCAGGCTATTTCTGTGGACTATGAATTAGTTTGGAGGAAGGGAGAGCTCCAGAGCTCCAGGCAGGAAACCAGTGTGACAAGGTTATCTTACCTCAATAGTGCAGGCAAAAAGGGATCTGGGTCATGAAAAGAAGTAAAAGTGAGAGCCTGTGAAGGAAGAACTAATAAAATAAGGCTTCTATAGAGTGTAAGAGAAAGAGGAAGGGAATCTCTGATGACCAGGAGCTTGTGAGAAAGGATATCTTGGAGAACATTGATACCCAGAATATGTAAGCTACTCAGACTAGGTTTTAGATTTGTCAAAGGAGATGAATGATTCTATTTGAGATACCAAGGGCACAGAGAACACCAAGGAGAAAGTATACAACAAGTAGTTGGAGATATGAGAGGGAGGTACAGATAAAAGTTGAGACAGGAAAAGAGATGGGTCTTCAGCTTATTAGTAATGAATGATGCCATGACTATAGCCAACCTCTCCGAGAAGATAGGAGAACTTAACAGAGATGTCAAAGACCTTCTAAAATGCTTGTCAATTATGGCCCTGGACATTGCCTCTACATTCGACTCAGCTAAGAGTCCTTTCTTTCCTCACTCTTTTTAATAACCTGAGTCTGAGCCAAGTTTACATTTGGACATCAAAGGAATCCCCATATCATACCCCATATCAGCAACTTCATCTGCAATCTTGAATCCACATATATATCATACAATGGAAATATGAACCTTGGTCCCCCAGAATTTAGTATCACTTTTAAGAGAGGGGCCAATTTAACCATAGATGTGAATCTGATAATACCTAAGCCTTTTTCTTGCGTACCCTTGGATAATTAGCTTACAACATTTACCCTTCATAAATGTGACACTTTAAAGAAAACATTCAAGGTTGGTAATCTGTCATTATTTGAAAAATTCCTGTCTGATACAGAGATTTAGTTCTCTGATAGTGACTGCCTGTGG